GAACCTGCCACCTTAGGTGTATGTGGCTGGTGCCTTAGCCACTTGAGCTACAGGTGCTGAGCCTGTCTCAATGTTTATAGAAGACACGGGCAGGTATATAAAAGGCAAGGAAATTTTTCTATATGTATGCTTTAAAGTGATTATTATTCATACTACTGGCTTCAGTAATTAACTCTAGCACTTTTAAAGTACTTTCCTAGCTCTGATTTGTCTGCTGCAGTCTGGAGTCTATATTTTTAACTATTTTCAGGGTAATTCTGAATGTGTGTTGGATAGTAGCCAGGCTCTAAGATGGCCCTCAATTACTCTTGCCTCCTAATGTTTACATCCCTGGCATTGCTCTCTGTAACACTTAACATACTGTAGAAATGACAACATGTGAGAAAGAACCTGAGAGACCCTGTGGTTTCTACATCTTCTCCTGAATCATGAGCTTTAGAAGAAGCCAGTTCCCATTTCACGAGGACACCATGGAGAAATCCTCACGACAAGGAACTGAGACTTTCTGTCAACAAACAGGTCCATGACTCACACACTTTGGAAGTGGATCCTCTAGCTCTAGTTACAGCCTTCATCAGATCACACCCTTGCCCAAAAGCATCTTGACTGTAACCTTATCAGATTCCCAGTCACAACCACTCTGCTGAGCCACTTCTAAATTCCTGACTCACAGTAGCAGTATGAGATAATAAACATTTGACACTGAGTTAAGCGGTTAAGTTTCGGGGCGATCTGTAATGCAGTGGTATATGACATAGTGGCCTATCCTGTGCGAATCAACTGCCTTTAAGCAGATGCATCTTCTCATGACTGCTGGCCAGGCTGGTGTAGCAAAACAATCACTGGCTCTGAAGGGAAACAGATATAGTTCACTCACTTGGTATTTTACTTTGTGTAACTTAATTCAACTTGAGTCTTAGTTTCATTAATAAGATGAAACTAATGACCTTACTTAAAAAGCTATTATGGATAAACTAACAAAAAACAGGAAAAAGTGATTACCAGGGGCAGAGCTAAAGTTAGGGAGAATGGAGAGTTGATTTGCTTAACAGGTACAGAGTTTCAGTCTGGCATGATGAAAATTTGAGGCAGATGGACACAGGTGATGGTTGCACAATAATATGAACGTACTTAATCATAATTTCTTTTTTTTGAGACAGAGCCTCAAGCTGTCTCCCTGGGCAGAGCGCTGTGGTATCACAGCTCATAGCAACCTCCAACTCCTGGGCTCAAGCGAGTCTTCTGCCTCAGCCTCCCAAGCAGTTGGGACCACAGGCGCCCGCCACAACGGCCAGCTATTTTTTGGTTGCAGCCGTCATTGTTGTTTGGCAAGCCCAGGCTGGATTCGAACCCGCCATCTTAGGTGTATATGGCTGGCGCTTTAGCCATTTGAGCCACGGGTGCCGAGCCTAATCATAATTTCTTAAAGAAAAAGTTATGGAGATTAAGTCAGTCAGCATGTGTAAAGCACCAACATAATGCCCAGAACTTGGAAGATAGTACAAAAATACTCATGTCGTTTCCTCTTCTTCCTACCTGTCCTATATAGGTTGCAACAACTGGCAATCAGCTCCTGCATGATGCACCATATTTAAGAAACTAATTATGATAGGGGCCTGCCTCAATAATTAATTGTTCCCTACACATATTCCTCAGTGATGGGTTGCTAAATTTCTACATCCAGGTAATTTATTTTGTTTGGTTCTTTTGAGATGGGGTCTCATCCTGTAACTAGGATGAACTGCAGTGGCCCAATCACAACAGCCTACTGCAACCTTGAATTCCTGGGTTCAAGTGATCCTCCTGCCTCTCTCTCAAGTAGCTGAGACTACAGGCCCAGTTAATCTTTAAATTTTTTTGTAGAGACAAAGTCTCATTACTGCCCAGGCTAGTCTTGAACTCTTGGCCTCAAGCAGTCTGCCTGCGTAGGCCTCCCAAAGTGCTGGGATTACAGGAATGAGCCACTGCACATGGTCTATTTTTTTTCTTAAATGACTCCTCCAGTTTCCTTGCTGGCGTGAGGTTTGATCTACTGCTGAATTCAGATTCAAGGTTTCTCCATGTAGACTAAGACCTACCTGACTAAGGCATTCAACTTATTATGGGCAATTCTTTCTACTCCTATCCAGCGCTCATTCTCATTCTCAATAATGTTCCAGAACTTTATGTCTCTCCACCCACTCAGTCTTTACATTTTTACATGCACCCTATCCCACAGCTTTTATCTCTTATTTTGAATGCTTACCCCCTATATGCATTAGCTTAAATTATTCAAAATTGCCATTTTTGCAGATCAAGGACTTTGAGAATTAGAACAGGAATTGTCAGGTATTTTCTACAATGTCTTAGGCTCTGTGGGCCTTAGTCTCTACTGCAACTCATCAGCTTTGCTGTTGCAGCTCAGAAGCAGACACAAGTAACAGCTAAATGAGGGAGTGTAGCTATATAGTAAGAACTTTATTTATGAAAGGTGAATTTTGAATGGTATATAATTTTCTCACATCAAAAAATTTTTTCTTTCATTTTAAAAAGTAAAACTTATTTCTTTTAGCACATGGGCCATACCAAAGTGGCCATGGGCTGTAGTTTGTCAACCTCTGGGTTAGAAGATAAAGAACATGTAATACAACACTGGTTAATAAAAAGACCTGTAAAGTGATCACTGGAAAATAACTTTTAGCTTTTAAGTATTTAACATACATAAGGCTCTGCAATTTACAGATAAAAAGTACAGAATTCATTTTTACCAAATTCTTAGATATATAAATTATTTGCTTTTGCAAATATTGGCCAAATATTGCCATATTGGTTACATATGAGTCATTACTTCTACTAAGGGATAGATGAAAATATACCAATACTTCTGCATACACTTATTTGTATGACCTTTTATACCTAGTATCTAGTTCCTAATTCTTTATTTGAAAAGAAAATTTTAAAACACTGATATCTTTCAATTTTAGAGTGTATGGCAAGAGATATAACCTGCTAAAGGTATGATGACAGATTATCTTACAAGAAACTGTTAACTAGGACAACTGCTATGTTAGAGTTTCAGAGGTTTTCCTGTCCCAAATCATGTATTGTAGATTATTGGTCACCTAATCCCCTGAAATTTTCCAGGAAAAATACAAAGCAAAATAAAGATTAATTATCACAATAAATAACAACTCGTTAGGTACATACGGAATGTTGGAAAGATGCAAAGTGGCTGATGGTGGAAAAATATTTTGGAAGTTTTTAGAGCCAGGCTTTTTAAAGCGATGCAAAGGACTATTGCTGAAATCCTTCGTCAGACCTTGGTCTTCTTGTCCCTCTCGAGGAAGCTGAACTGCTTGATGTTTGGACAGTGTAGCACGAAGCACTTTTCCATAAAGTCTCTGACCACTTAGATGGTTCATTGCTAGTATATAGCAAGAAAAGAAGGAAAGATTGGATATTAAGATTCTCAGAAATATGTTTAAATTATCATAAATCATTTTTATTTAGTCAATTAAAATTACTCTGTAAGTCTGAGGGTTAAAAGGGTTTCAACATCCCAAAACTCTGAGGGAATGTATTAAATGACTTCATTTTACTATTCAGGTTGGTGCAAAAGTAACTGCAGTTTTGGATCATGAATTTTAAATCATTATAATTAGGCTCAAAACCTCTTTATTAATCAAAATAGGAACCATTACAATCAATTCGCTGCTGCCAATGAGAAATAAATTTGTTTCTTCATGTAGCATAAAAATCCATGCAGGATTCGATGAACTCTTGGGGAGCATTTTCTTCATTCTGCTAATTGAGGAAAGGTTTTCCCAGCAAAAAGTTGTTGAGATGCTTGAAGAACTGGCAGTCAGCTGGCAAGAGGTCAGATGAATACGGCAGATGAGGCGAAACTTCATTGCCTGATCTGTTCAACTTTTGAAGCACTGGCTGTACAATGTGTAGTCAGGTACTGAGAAGAATTAGGCCCTTTCTGTTGATTAATGCTGGCTGCAGACACTGCAGTTTTAGGTACATCTCATCAATTTGCTGAGTATACTTCTCAGATGTAATGATTTCACTGGGATTCAGAAAGCTGTCGGGGATCAGACTGGCAGCAGACCACCAAACAAGTGACCATGACCTTTTTCATGCTACAAGTTTGGTTTTGAGAAGTGCACTAGAAGTTCCTCTTGGTCCAATCACTGAGCAGGTCACCGCTGCTGGATGTCGTATGAAATCCACTTTTCGTCTTACGTCACAATCTGAGAAACGGTTTGTTGCTATTGTGTGGAATAAGAGAAGATGACACTTGAAAATGACAATAGCTCTGATTTTTGGTCAGCTCATAAGGCATCCACTCATTGACCTTTTTCACCTTTCCAACTTGCTTCAAATGTCAAATGACCATAGAAAGGTCAACGTTGAGTTTTTTGGCAGCTTCTCGTGTAGTTGTCAAGAAGATCAGCTTTGATAATTGCTCTCAGTGGGTCGTTGTCAGATGGCTGGCCACATACTTCTCATCTTCAAGGCTCTTGTCCCTTTTGTAAAACTTCTTGAACCACCACTACACTATAAATTTGTTAACAGTTCCTGGGCCAAATGTGTTATTGATGTGAGTTGTCTCTGCTGCTTTACAACCCATTTTGAACTCAAATAAGAAAACTGCTTAAATTTGCTTTTTGTCTAACATCATTTCCATAGTCCAAAATAAATAATCAGTCATTAGCAAAATAAATAAATAAATAAATAAATAAATAAATAAAGTGAGAAATGCACATTAAAATGATGAATAACATAAGCACATTTGAGAATATTCCAGTAACAAAAGGAAAATTTTAATAATGCAAAAGCCGCAGTTACTTTTGTACCAACCTAGTAGAATGAGATTAAAAAAAAACAAAACCATAACCAACCAACCTAATAAACAATAAGTACTTTCTCAGTACCAAATAATGAAATTCCAGAGTGTCTAGAACATAATAAGGGCTCATAAAGTGGATATTGAGCATATTAATTTTATCTCAAGCAAAGAATTTGTATAAGAAATCTGAGCAGTGATATTTTAATACCCTGTATAACAGTGAGGCCATGGAATAACACTTTCCTGCACCATCATTACCAGCTATGGCCAAATTTTTAAGTCATTCAATAGTTCTAAACAACTTAATTTGGAAGGAAAAGAGACAAATAAAATGAAGCAAAACAAGTCGTGTTTATTAATTTAAACTTAATGGAAAAATCCTAGGGTCAAAGTTCTAACCATTAATAATATGTCCACTTTTTTTTTTTTTTTGAGACAGAGCCTCAAGCTGTCATCCTGGGTAGAGTGCTGTAGCATCACAGCTCACAGCAACCTCCAACTCCTGGACTCAAGCAATTCTCCTGCCTCAGCCTCCCAAGTAGCTGGGACTACAGGCGCCCACCACAATGCCCGGCTATTTTTTTTTTTTTTTGGTTGTAGCCATCATTGTTGTTTGGCAGGTCCAGGCTGGATTCAAACCAACCAGCTCAGGTGTATGTGGCTGCCCCCTTAGCTGGTTGAGCCATAGGCGCTGAGCCAGTATGTCCACATATTAAGTAGATAAATGAACTTCAGACTTGAAAGAGTAATGAATATTTTTTAATTTTAAAATTTAAGCAGGTGCAAGTAATAACGAAAACATTACCACAAGGAGGTACTCTTGTAAAATTGTGTTTCTACTAGCTATATGTTTATTTTGAAGGAAAATTCACATGCTAATGGGGCAGGTTATCATTATTAATTATTAGTACCTAGCTGAGCTTGATTTGCATCTGCCATCTGAACCAAGGCATTTTCTTTCTTGTTAAACATAATCTTCACTCGATGAACATCACCATATACTCCTAATTAAAATAAGCAAACAAACACATTGTAATGCCTGACTATGTAGTTTAGTTAATTTTACTAATATATTTAAAGACTTCTTTTCTCATACTATACACTTTCCCTTGGCAATATCATACATACACTCCCAAATTTTTCTGTCTTCTAAGCTTGGGATCTATTCATCTACTCACCCTTTTTCACTCGGGCATCCCATAAACCAGGGGTCCTCAAACTATGGCCCACGGGGCACATGCAGCCCACCGGGGACATTTATCCAGCCCACTGGGTGTTTTTGCCGCCACTGCTTGTCCTGCTTAGTAGCTCACTGGTCCTGGGGCCCGCAGTCCGGCCCTCCAACGGTCTGAGGGACAGTGAACTGCCCCCCTGTTTAAAAAGTTTGAGGACCCCTGCAAACACTTTAAATTTAATATGTCTCAAACTGATTCATCCCTCCTCTCCTTTCTGTGCTTCCAGTGTTCCCTAACTCAGTTGCTCCAGTCAGACACCTAGAAGTCACCTTCTGACGTTTCCCTATCTTCAAATCAGTGACTTTCAACCAGTGTGCCTCGAAAATCTTGAAAGATCATTAATTAAATTATTTTTGAAAGAAGTTCAAAGTGCAGTAAGTATATTCTGTTTTTTACTCTTTTTTTGGATCAACATAATTAAAGTGTGCTGTGGAAGTTTAACTATAGATGTGTGCTGTGAGAAAAAAAGGTTGAAAAAAGCCCTTTAAATCTGTATACCCCCCTACTCAATCACTAGCACCCACTGATTCTATGGCCTAAGTACTCCCACGTTTGTCCACTTCTCGCTGTCCTCACTACCATCAAAAGCTATCAACACCATTTTACACTGGGAATACTACAATACAACAGGTCCTGATTTCATTACATTCAATTTTTCTTTTCTTTTTTTTATTTTTTTAAAAGAAAGAGAAATCTCACTGTATTGCTGGGGTTGAGGGCTGCAGCGTCATAGTTCATAGCATAGTTCTTAGGGTCAAGTGATGCTCTTGCTCCAGCCTCCAAAGTAGCTTAGATAACAGGTGCCTGCAACTATAATGCCCAACTAGTTTTTTCTATATTTTTTAGTAGAGATGGGGTCTTGTTCTAGCTCAGGCTGGTCTCAACTCCTGAGCGCAAGTACTCCACCTGCCTCAGCCTCCCAGAGTGCTAGAATTACAGGCGTGAGCCACAGTGGCCAGTCACATTCAATTTTTCTATACTAGTGTTCCCCAAAGTGAGTCCTGTATCATCCCAGAGGACAGGCAAAATGATTTCACAGGGCTGTGGGAAGAAAATAATTGAACTCAATCTGTTTATATAAATCAACATTTAAAAAACCACATTTTATGAATTTTTAACATATAAATAAAATTATAGGCAGGAGGTTCTATAATGTGAATGGCAGTCGCTCATTCAATACATTATAATACAATATACTGCAGTTTATGTGCTATATAGTATCATTGATATTATAAATGTAAGATCTTTCAGTAGTTCCATTATTACCACACTTTGTAAGGCAAGGAGAGAATGACTATGAAACTCTTCGAGGAACACACAGGAATGTTGGTTATCTTGTGGGTAAGCACGCAAATGAGCTCTTAGATACTTGGCAGTTTTAAATAAAAAATATGCTAGAGAAAATCATATGAAAAATGTATTATTATTTTTTCTTTTCTTTTCTTTTTTTTTGGCAGGGGCTGGGTTTGAACCCACCACCTCCGGTATATGGAGCCAGTGCCCTATTCCTTGAGTCACAGGCGCTGCCTGAAAAATGTATTATTAACATATAACCTTATTACTGAAAATTACAAAAATGTATTATTGATAAAAACTTTTGGTCAGGCACAGTAGCTTATGCCTGTAATCCCAGTGCTTTGGGAGGCTGAGGTTGAA